TGAGGCCCGCTGGGCGTGAGGCCCCTGGTGGCCACTGAGGTGAAGGTGCTCAGGAGGCGGCCAGACCTGGAGAGGTCAGGAGAGACATCCGAGGCAGAGCAGGAGTTTCGAGAGCCCTCCGCCTGCGGGTGGGGTGAAGCCAGGGGGACACAGCTGGCCCCAGAGAACAGGTAGAGGCTGACACGTGGGCCCTGGAACAACATCAGGGACAGCAGCCTTGTGGGGATAAAACAGGAAGACCCGGGAGAGATGCAGGAGGGACGGTCAGAGAGAGAGAGCAGAGGGACCCGATTTCAGTGCTTAAATGGGGTAGCTCTTTGTTTCCAAAAGAGCTGGGTGTGAATCCAGCCACGTCAGCTCTCAAGCTCAGAGGGAGGGTCTTGGGGTGCTGTTTCACTTCCCCAAGCCTCAGTTTCTCATCTGTGAAGTGGGGCTCAGTGAACACGCATCCTTCACAGGCCTGTTGCGGGGTGGGCATGAGGTGCCTGTGCAGCACGCTTGGCAGGGCTCTGACCCGTAGTGAACACGAGTGTGTGTGGTCTGCGATTCTTGTCTCCAACACCACGGGAGGACAGTTGGAAGAGGCAGGGCATGCCCAAGGGTGGTGGGTGTTACAGAAGGGCCAAATGAGGTGGCCACCAAAGCATCGTAGGGTTTGGCAGGTAGGTCATGACTGCCACCCCCAGAATGGCTTTGGTGAAGTCGGGTGTGGAGCGACAGAATGAGAGAAAGGGAGGTTTGGGAAGGACTGATTCCCTTCTCCGTCCATCTCTTCGGCCCCGTGGTGGAGACTTGGGGGAGGACGTGGCCTGGACCAGGCAGGGTAGCCTCCCCAGGTGCCAGTGCCTCTGGGGTCCAAGTGAAGCGAGAACGTCTCCTGTTAGGAGACCTGTGGGAGACGGCAGCCATCTGCGTGTTCCCCCCTCCGCCCCTGTGATAATGCAGAATTGTCTCTTTGAGGTTGCTATGGAGACATGGATGGGTTTGTAAACAGTTTTAAGGTCTGTGTCAGATCTCGGGTTTGTATTGGTTGCAAGGGCAGGGACCATATTTTCTACATCACCGTGCAGCCGCACCACCTGTCACGCTGCAGTCGTGCGCTCTGGCTTGGCTTCAATGAACGCCCGCAGGCTGATCACTCCCAAACCTCTCCTCCACAGCCCAGTTCCCCGTCCTGGGTTTCAGGCCAACGCATCCAGTTGCCCGCCGTAACACTCCTCACAGATTCCCCACAGACACCGAGGACTTGAAATGTCTGAACCAGACTCATCACGGCAGCCTCCTTTCTCCAGTCATAACCTCCTGCCCTCGCCCCACGTTCCCCCTCTCAGCCAAGGGCACCTCCTTCCACTCAGCCCCCAAGTCAGGAACGTGGGCTCCTCCTCGACTCCCCTTCTCTCCCAGCCCTCCACCTCCAAGTCCAGTTAGTCACCGAGGCCCGTTGGCTCCGCCTACTAAGTCTCTCTCTTGTGCTGGCCGCTTCCCCCTCCAGCCGTTCATTCTCTCATTGCTTCCACATCATCTCACTGACTCCATAAATGTATTGGTGTCTAGTCAGGGTTAGATACTGTTCTGGGTGATGGGAGTGCAATGGGGCGGGGCAGCAGACAAGCCAGGTTCCTCATCTCGTGGAATCTGATCGCATCTAGAGAAGGACCCCCCAAACCACAGCCCTATCTCAGTAGACTGCCACTGTCTGCTGACAGCCTCCCTGCCCCTCATTCATGCACCGGCACTGGTTTGTGGAGCCCGTGCCGGGCGCCGGCCTCGTGCTGTGTGTGCCTGAAGAACGCAGAGCAGGCCAGCGTGGCTGGGAGGCCCTGAGCAAGGGGCAAGGCAAGACTGGACGATGTAGGAGGATAGGCGGGAGTCAGAACACTGAGGACCTGGGGGGTCATGAGAAAAATGCCCTGTTTCCCCCCAGAATGAGAGGGAAGCCATTGAAGGGAGGGTGTTCAGCAGGGGGAGTGACATGATGTCTCTGGCCGGCTCTACGCCTCCCGGTTTCATGATTAAAATGAGAGTGGAGCTCACCAGACGACAGCCATCTGTACATCGGTACGTCGCAGCGCCCAGGTGCCCCGACCACGCAGCGGGGGCTCCGGAGCCGCGCTGCCGTCCAGTGCTGCGTGTTTCACCGGAGGGCGGGGACAGCCTGTGGAGCTCGGGCTGCTCCTCATGTTGTGATCAGACGACGGCCTGTCCCGTCTCCTCCTCGTTTCAGCCCCTCGACCAATTCATGTCGCCCACGATCTCAGCTTGTCAGATGTTAGCACTTCCTAAACTGTCATCGAGTCTCTCCTGGCACGCCTCGTGGCTGAGCACGGCTGCACGCTGCCGCCGACGAGGCGCGGTTCTGCTGCGAACGTGGGGAGTCAGCAGATGGCTCGACTGCCGCGAGGCAAGTCTCGGAGCTCCCAGGCAGGCGAGTGCCTGGAACAGCATCTCTCACCTCCTAGTCACGGGGTGGGGCGCGAGGGAGGAGACCGTGGGGACCAAGGGCCTGCCCGGAAAGCAGCATCCAGAAGCCGCAGAGCCTGGCAGCAGCCCGCAGTGGGATTCCAGGCAAGTCGGCACCCTGAGGTCCCGACGCAGAGTGAAGAGGGCGCCGTGACAAGTGCATGCATGGAGCCCAACGTGGGGGACCCCCCAGAGCAGAAGCTAGTCAGAAGTTTTGGCAGCGGGTGCCCTCAAGGAGCAGGTGGGAGGATCTCAGGCCCCAGAACGGCAATATAGAAATAAGAATTGAGCCCTGGGGATGGGGGCAAGAGCAGAGAGAATAAGGGTTGTAGCAAGGAGCCTCCAATCTCAAGGGCTTGACACTATAGAAGTCTATTCCCCGCTCACCCAGCAGTCCAAAGGTGGGTGCTCTGCAGGCAGCTGATCTGGCAGTGATTTGGGAGCACAGGTTCCTTCAGTCTTGTGAGCACCCCCGCCCTCTGCCATCTACAACCCCTCAGATGCCTCTGCTGGATCATTGGCAACCAGCTGGCCAATGGGGAGGGGGACAGCGGAATGAATATGTATACATATTCAGTCGGTAAAACGTCCAGCCATTGTTAATGTAATGAGAACGGTGTACACAACACCCATGTACCCTGGCAGCCAAGCAGAGTGGACTGGGATGCGCATGTGTGAACAATGACGACTTCACTGTACCAGTCCGTGGGGGTGGCAGACACCACTGAGTGAGCGTGTGTGCTGTGTGGCCGTCGCATTCACAATGAGATTGAGTAGAACAATGAATCTGCATCAACTTTTGTGTTAAGCTTGAATGTTCCTCCACGGAAACTCTTTGGATGATTCAGAAGGCATTCGGGGACAATGCAACGAGTGCAGGGCAAATAAAAATGTGCCGCAAATGCTTCAACGACGGTTGAGAACCTGTTGAAAGTGATCCACGTTCTGGAAGGCCTGCAGCGAGCAGGATGTTCGACCTGAGAATGTTGCACGTGCACGGCCGCCATCATAAAGATCGGTGACTGGCCGCGCGAGCGCTAGAAGCTGATCTGGGAATTCCAGAGACTCCTGTCTCCAACATCCTGACTCAGCATCTTGGCAGGAAACACGTTGTGACAGAGCTCATTCCACGGCCTCGGCTACCGGAGCAGAAGGAACGTCGTGCTGCAGTTGAGGGAACTGTGCTTGGTCCCAAGGTGCCTCCTTTGAAGGGGACTGAGGCGTCGTTGTCCTGTGTACCATGGTTCTTGTATTTTCTTCAATAAATGTCTCTACTTTGCATAATATGTGGCTGGACACTTCCTGGACAGACCTCATCGTGTGTGTGTGTGTGTGTGTGTGTGTGTGTGTGTGTGTAAGGCTTTTACAGGTCAGACCTGGAAGTGGTGCCAAACACTCCCAACCTCCTTCCCTTGGCCACACTTGCCTGAAAGGTCCTAGCTCCCTCCCCATCTGCCCTGGCCTGTGTGCTGAGGGCCCAGACTGCCTATACCTGGGCCCACCTGAGTTAGGGCAGGCCGTGTGCCAACCTATCCCTCTCCTAACAGGCCCAACTCCTGCTCGTGCATCCTCAGCACTCAGACTGGATGCCGCCTCCAAGGAAGGCTCCTGAACCGCCTGCGATGATGCGTTGTGCCCTGGTGTCCTGCCGCAGAGCCCAGGCTTGCTCTATGGAAGTTGCCTGATCCATTGATTGTATGTTCACGCTCTAGATGTAAACTTCTTGAGGACAGAAGCTGTGTCTGATTCAACAGTGTATCCCCAGCGACTAGGAGAAAGCCCACCTGTCACTCAGTAGGTGTTCAGGAAACGTTTGTTGAGTGAATAAATGCAGCTCTGCCTGTGTTTCAGGTAGCAGCCACCAGGTGGCAATAGTGTCCTTTGGGTTATGAAGGTAGGTGTGAATGCTCTCTCTGCGAGAACACCTGAAATAAACTGAGGTTTGTTCCCACAGTCCAAGCACTTGGTTAATCTTCTGTGAAATACGTCGGTTAGTTAAAGCAATCACAGAATCATTTCTCCAGTTAGACTAAGAAAAATGTAACAATTGCAATACCATAAAGAAAGGAAGAGGTAGAGAGAAAGTGTGCTCGAGCCCTGGGGTCCCAAGTGCCACCCCCCACGGGACCTCAGCATGGTGCTGTTTATCTCGAAGACCCGCGACTGTCCACTCGGATGCCTGAGCACTCGCCGTGTCTGAAGCTGCCCCAGCCTGACACCCCTGCGGCAGCCTGCACCTGTTCCGGGTTCACCGGCACTAATTTTACTGGCTTATCTTATCAGGGTGCTGCCAGCAGGCCAGTGCGGCTGCAGCAGAGGGTTCATAAATAAGGCTGGTGAGAGATAAGGTTGGAGCAGCCCGGAGAGGCCAGCAGGAGGAAGCCCTGGACACCGGGCCGAGGAGTGTGGACTTTACCCCCCGCGCAGCAGAGCAGCGGGGATAGAGCCGGCTCGTGGCACGCACACGTGTCTGCCTGTGCGGGCAGGCAGGTGGGCCTGCACGTGTGTGCACGAGTGAAAGGCCGTGGGATGGGGAAGGAGGGGCGTGTGCTAAATGGTGCCGAGACAGACATGTGGTGGGGGCTGAGGGGGATACTGAGGCAACCGAGGCAAGGGAGACCCCCCAGGGGGGTCTCTGCAGTAATCCAGGAGGCGGGGCCGAGGCCTGAGACCAGTGGAGGACAGGGACGGTGGACATCTGGTGGCCCCAGCAGATGTTCTGTAGGTAAGTCAACAGATCGGAAGGAGAGGGAGAGGAGAGAGCCCAGAGAGCAGGCCCGCCGGCGGGCTAAATCCTGACTCCGTGCAAACTAGAGAAAGACGTGTCTTTCCCAGGGACTTGGTGTCTACAAAGCTCCCAGGTGGAGAGTGCCCCTGGAGTGATTCTGCGCCCACCTGCCCCACAGCAGCCCTGAGAGGGGACTCCAGGTTCCAGCCTGGATGAGGGATATGGGGTGCTGTGGGGGGAATCCCTGAGAGGAGTGGGGGGTGCCCTGACAGCTGGTTTTAGGAGAAACAGCACCCTGAGTTTCATGTGTCTCCAATGCCGTGGTTCTCAGACTGTAGCGGGCCTCAGACACACATAGGGGCGGGGGGAGGGGTTGGTATTGAAACACAGACGGCCAGGCCCTACCATCAGAGTTTCTGGCCTGGGAGGTCTGAGCTGGGGCTGAAGGGTTTGCATTTCTACCAAACTCCCCGGTGCCGGTGGGGCTGCTGGTTGGGGACCGTGCTCGGAGAACGGTGCTTCGAGCCCCCAGCTGTGTGTTGGAAGCATGGTGGGAGATTTTTTTTTTTTTACATGCTGAAGTCAGAGCCCTTCCCAGACCATCTGGAGTGGAAACCAGGGGAAGAACGTAGAGCACCTCCTGCAGGGGTTCCCCTCCACCCCCGCGTCAGAGCCGGAGCCCGCTCAGGTCACCCCCAGTCTGAAGTCACTGCTGTGGGTGAGCGGCAGAGCGTTAGCACACCCTCTGGCTTCCGCTTGTGACTTTCCACCATTCTGCCTCCAGCACCCTCCCTTTGCCCCCCAAACAGGCCCCAGCTTCCCCTCTTCCCCTGAGAGGTGTGCCAGCCGGGCCAGAATCGTCCAGTCCTCCCTCCGGATCAGCGTGAACTATGTCCCACTGGGTTCTTCCATCAGCACTCGACGCTTCTCTTTCTCTAGCTCTCATTCCAGAAATCTCTATTCTGCATTTCCTGTGGGCAGGTCATGCTGCGTACCTCGGGCCTGCTCACCTGCAGAAGAGGGGCCACCCCTCCCCGACCCCCTTCTCCGAGGTGACCTCCTCTGACCTCAGCCCCGGACCCACCCCTGACTTCACGCCCCGCCAGCTGTTGGGAGCAGCGTGTCTTGTCTCCCGGTCGGTAGGGTTACTTGAGCTTCTGCAAGAACTGGAAGTGTGTCCTTTCTCACAACATGGCAGTGAAAACACGGGGTAACAGAAGGTGTGTGTGGGCTTGGAGTAAACACGGCTCTGAAATTCCCCGTAATTACATAATAGAGAGGTGTTGCCAAGGTAAATTAATAAGAAAACAGTTGGGCGATGTTTACCAACAAAATCAGCTCGGGGTGTGTTAGTCCCTGCTTTTTCTTTCTCAGACGAGCCTTGAATGGGAAGACAGTCGCCCCCACCCCCTCATCCGCGGCTTTGCTGTCTACATTCTCAGGGACCTGCGGTCAAGCGCGGTCCAAAAATAATGCATGGGAAACTCCAGAGGTGAACAGTTCGTAAGTTTGGAACCGCACGCCGTCCTGAGCAGGGCGATGAACTCTTACGCTGCTCTGTCCCCCCAGGGGCGCGACTCGTCCCTTTGTCCGGCGTCGCCACGCTTAGTGTGCTCCCTGCCCATTGGTCACTTTGGGGTCGCCGTGGTAATCGGATCAGCTGTTGAAGTATCGCGGCGCTTTTGCACAAGTCACCCCGAGTTCGCTCAATAATGGCGCCCAAGTCCAAGAGCTGTGGGGCTGGTCATTAGGACGTGCCCGAGAGGAGCACCCAAGGGCTACCTGTGAGTGAACGGGTGGGTGTGGGTCGGGAAGAACACAGCAGTGTATTCAGGGTTCAGGGCCGTCCTCGGTTCCAAGCACCCACCGGGGGTCTTGGAATGTACCCCCCACGAATCGAGTGGGACTACTGTCGTACATCTCGAAAGTGGCAGCCTCTTCGTGGGCGTGACCACGTTATTCCGTTCCGTCAGGCTATCTAGACGATGGGAAAATTGCCAAGGTCAGGCTTGGGAGCTGCACAAGGGCTCCTCCGCCCACTGGCTGCTTCGCTGAACACCTCCCTGTCTGTCTGTCTGTCCGTCTGTCTGTCTGTTGCCTCTCTCTCTCTTTCACGTGCGTCTTTTCTTTCCATCTGCTCTGCTCCCTGTGTGACTCACACCTCATTGGAACAAGAAGGCCAGCCAGGGCCCTCGTCTCCGGCTCACAGCCTCGGCGCCTGCCTTGTGGCTGCCTCCTCCGACATCAAAGCCCCCGGGAGGCAGCACTGAGACCCGAGTCACAGTCACTGTCCGCACCTCGCCGGCCCCTCTTCTTCTCCTGGTGGGTTTTGTGAATTGGCCACGCCTTTTGGGCTTCAGACAGGGCTTGGGCTCTCAGCTGGGTGAGAACGGATGCAAGACGAGCTCTCGGCCCAGGAAGATGGCCACTCAGTGAGGCCAGGCTCCAGTCAACAGGACGGAATGCAGGGTCTGGTGAGGACTCCAGGTCAGTGCCAAGAATCACTCTTTGGAAAAGTCTGGAAACTCACCGTCTTTGGAAAACCAAGCAGAGACTCCAAACACCTAGCCTGGCCATCTACTTTCCTAGTATCCCTGGCACCTCGTCGAGTGGTCTCTGCTTGAATTCCTCCAGGCCCGGGGAGCTCACTTCCTCTCGAAGCAGCCCTTCTCCTGTTGCCCACCCAGAGCCTGTGTCAGATTTCCCCAAGGCCATGTTTTCCCCCCAGTACTGGGATTCCCACATCTGTCCCTTCATCTGATAGTGACAGTCACCCTGGGATTTAGGCAGGGCCACAGAGTGCCCACCTGACCAAGCAGTTCCACTCAGGCTCGGCCAGGTGCAGCGAACCTTGGCAACGACAAGACTAGAGCTCCAGCCGCTCAAGTCCTGGCCCAGTGGTGTTCCCACCACACAGCTTTGCTGTCGTGTTGAGAGCAGCCCAGCACCCAGCCTTCTGAATCTGAAATGCACCGCCCAGCTAACCTTCCCAACAGACCTGAATGAGAAGGTGAGGTTGGAACCGTGTGCTCCAGACTTGAAGAGCAAAGCCATCGCCCAGCTCGTGGGCTGAACCCGTGGGGAAGGAAGCTGAGGGTCAAAGGCAAACCTGCCCTTCACAGTGCCAGGTGGCGATGTGGAGCCGGAGGCTACTTCTCTGTGCTTAGAGGATTCTCGTGTCGTGAAGGGGTGATACATCCCCACATTGGGGTGCTTCATCCAAGATAGCCAGGGAGCCAAGCGGGTGCTGATGGAGAACAGAGTCAAAGCCACATGACCAGTCCAAAAGAAACACCCATCCAAAGGGGGCCGGATAGAGGCATGGAAACCAGATCCAACCAACAGACGGGCATCCAAGGCTTCGCTTGCGTAGAGTAGAAAAGACGCAGGACCTGGGAGCTTCCCACTTTGCTTTGTCTCACTCATCCTGGCTGGCTGGGAGACTAGGTCCCAAATGTCCTGAGTCTGACTTATACCTGCTTTTGGCAGAAAGAGGTATGCATTCTATGTCCATTTTCACTGAACCTAGTATTGGTTAGCATTGAACACAGTTATAAAGAAGATCTAGGAAATCCATGGTCTTAAGTTCTAGGTAAGGTGACACAGGTAAGGTGACTTCAATTACATAATCAGGAGAAGAACAGGTATGTGGGATTCAGGGTCTGAGTCCATAAGTCTTCAATGGGTGTTACTATTCAAAAGAAGCAGGATTATGAAGGAACTGAACATTCAGACAAACCTAAGGAACACTGGACTTATTCTTTCATCTCAAAGACTTTTCACAAAACCATAAGCAGTCCAGTGAGCAATAAATTTTCCTCAGCCCCTTCACCGGAAGCATGTCTCCGTGGCCAGTGGGCAGCCCGTCCTTGTGGGATGGCAAGGAATGACTTACACGTGAAGGAAATGAGACTTACCTTCCAGGTGGGGAGTTAAACGTTTCCCAAAGGACATCATTGGCCCGACGCTGGAAGGTCTCTGGAACACGGTGTACTGGGGGACTGGACACGAAAGGCCTTGGCCAGGGTGGTGTTCTTCGTTCATTGTCTTCGAACAAAAGGGCCCCTCCTCAGAAGACTAACCTAGTGGCTCATCAGATTCCTTGGGACATTCTGAACACTGTGGATGAGACAGAGAGATGGCCCGTGGTCTGTGGGAAACTGACCCGGTGCCCCCGTTCATGTAGCAGGAACGCCGGAGCTCTCCATCCTTTCCCTGCTAAGTGGGGACGGGGGTGGATACGTGGTACATTCCACCTCCGCTCCTTCTTTCTTTCAGGTCCCTCCTACGCATTTGAAGCCGGTCTCTAAGGAGAGTGCCATCCACAAAATGAAATATAGGGCAAACGGCGTGTTTTTGCACGTACGCATGGAGAAAGCAAAGGAAATGTACTTCCTTATGTTTTCCTGAATGTCCTGTAATCTGGAGTGAACATGTATGATTATTTTTCAATCCTCCGCTGAAGAAATGTTTATTGATTTTAGAGAGAGTGGAAGGGGGGGGAGAGAGAAATATCAATGTGAGAGAGAAATATCAATGTGAGAGAGAAATATCAATTGGTTGCCTTCCGTACACACCCCCACTGGGGATGGAACCCAAGACCTTTTGGTGTATGGGATGATGCTCCAACCGACAGAGCCACCCGGCCAGGACTGTGTTACTTTTGTAAGAGGGGAAAAAAAGTTCTGGAAAAACTTTAGGTTTGAGCTGCCGTCATCTGATACGACAATAAATGTGTGTGGCATTTGTTCCCTGCATCTCAGTCTCCCTGAGAAGCTAACCTCAAGGATTGGGGTGGGGGGTCCATTTCACCTCCCCCAACTCGTGCACATTTACTCAGTGGGAACTCATCCTTGGCCACAAAGTGTAGGACGTTTCAGTGTGACTATCTTTGCTCCGGAAAGAGCTTCCATCTAGCCTCTGACAGCCAGCTGGGGAAAGAGAGCTCTTTTAACATTCCTATACGCTGCTGCTTTTCAAGGATGGCGATAAGAAAT